TGAATCGGTAGTCGAAGAGATCGCCGAATGACGTCGCATGCACATGCGAGTCGGAAAAATCAGTTGATTTCCAACTTTCGTACTTAAGTTGTTGGTCGTTGTACTGTTCTCCCACTTGCTGAGTGCATTTAGTGTTCCTTCCCTGCGCCTTGTAATCCAAAAAATTGTTGGTGGTGAAGGATTCTACGGTCTTACGTGTTAAATTTTGGCTTTATCAGATCTGATCCCTTACAGGTCAAATTGTGGGACTCACGGTGTGCAAATGATGGTCCAAGTGTGGAAATGGATGCAGGATCTCCAGTGGAAAGCGTAATCTTTTTGAACAATGAACACCTCATAGCAACAGCGGCCGGCCCAGTTGTTAAGTAATACTTTGAACGGATTTATTTCTGGTGAATCTTAATAAGTTTTCACGAAATTAAATGCGCTTATTCAGAATCTGGGATATTGCTGTTGGTGGGCGTTTGCTTATTTCACTACAACAACACCACAAAACTGTCACATCGCTCTGCCTTGGCGCTAGCGGTGATACTCTTCTTACTGGTGGCATCGACCGAAGAGTGAATGCGATCCGCCTTCTTGACTTTTCATTGGTTAGTTTTATGTCTTGAAAGCATAGTTCTTTGTGGTACTGTCCTCTAAAGTGCTTCCGAGGGTAATTCGCAATTCCTTATCTTGCTTATTTTTTAAATGTCAAAATGAGGAGCGCATGAAGAAAAGTTATCTATTTTGACTTGCTCTTGATTTTCGGCTGCTGTTTTGGCCGGAGCTCGCCTCGCGATGGTAATTACGAGAATGCAGGGTTGTGGGCAAAGCCCTTCACCTCAGGTGGTAGTGCAACTGCCCAGGATGCGAGAGTGAGCGCATCTCTAGCTTTTCGGGCTATTGTGCTCCCGATTACACCACCGGCTCACCGATTAGGTGCCAAAAGCGAGAGATGCGGCTTCAGTTTCTATCCTGGGGTGAAGAATTTGGCTAGCGCATTCTGTGAAATGAGCTTAGGTTCTTTTGAACTGAAACTCCTAGGGTGGTGTAAGCTTGCTCCCATTTGATCTGGCAACAAGATTGTCTTTGATTCCCTACTTGAACGAATGGGTACTATTGATAGTGCCCCCAGTCAAACATTGCTTACTATGGGTTCTCCTTCGGAACGTCAGGCTTCATTTAAAAATTGATCCGAAGCTGCTTGTTCTCTCTGTCGCTCCGCTGTTTTCACCTAACCATAATGACGCTCAATGATTCAGCTACACACAATGTCCATGGCGGCACCTGTGTTGAGTCTGGCCATGTCTGGTGACGATCAAACTATGGCAGTTGGAATGGGACAGTTGCTTGCCATTCATCGCCGAGCGCCAGAAGCCAAGGTTTGCTCACAAAACTTGAATGTTGGACGTACCAGTTGCTTATTTTGTTATATATTTTTTTTTCAGTCTGTTGTTAGGCTCAAGGTCGTCCAACGTTTCCAATGTTTCGTACTGGCGGCCCCCGAAGTGCAAATGCACAGAGGCAGAAATCAAGGGAGAGTGTGGAGATCAGGGCAAAGTCCAGTGACATGGTATTTTACCCTGTTTTTACTTGAACATTTCATTGACGTCAGACTTCTTTTTTCAGCATCGCTTGTCGAAGGTGGACTCTTTACTGAAGGGCTATCAACACGCAGCAGCCATTCGAAAAATGTTCCAGTGTAAGTGCTATTACTCGATGGGGACGCATTGCCACTCGAAAAGGCGTTGTATCTACACCAAAAAGAAAATAGTGGACAGCACATTTCGATATCGCCTAAAAAAGTGGGTGTGATGGGAGAAGAGGGGAGGTGTTAACTGGTAAAGTAGCGTTGCCTACCACGCGTGTGGCTCCGCCCGCATCGATCCTGGCTCCGTGTGTGGTGTGGTATCTGCAAGTCATCCATTCTCTTGAGAGTCGTTAATTGGTAATCCACGCTTGTCTGGAGACAATAACCACTGCATTGTACATTGGACTGCCATCCCCCACATCAGTACTACCTGCGTAACAAATCCTTTCAAGTGCCACTACGAATTTACAAATTGAATGGAATTCCCTTATCTCCCACCAGACAGAATTGATCAACGGGGCAAATTGCCTTAGACCTACACCTAGATAAGAGAAAGGAAATGGTGCCACCTACCGCCCACCCACAACGTTTACCACCCATTGTTTCAATTGTGCAGATAAACTTTTCATTACTTATCCATTCTTAGCGTATTTCTCCACCAGCAAAAAAGAGGAATTGTTGCACTGGTTGTTGGTGAATTTAAGGCGAGGAGCATAACGCCGCAATTTCTGGAACAGTGATAAGAAGTTCTGCAATTATGGTTACGGTTTGTATTTTTTAGATTGTTCGTTACAAATATATAATTCATCATAGCTCATCTTCAATTTTTCATTTTCTATAGTTCATCATAGTTTATGTCATTACGTTCATCATAGTTTATGTCAAAACCATTATTTCATTTCGGGAAAACATTTCTCCAATCCAGGGGAAAAATGAACGGAGTTTCCACGGACGTGGTGTTGCACTCATGTTCTCCATTTCTGCAACGATCCTACCTCAAATTTCCTCATATTTCTCGAACGGGTCACGTTTTACTGGACGGTCTGCTTCTGGTGATTGAGACAACATTACCCCAGTGAGATGATGGGAAAAGTAACAGCAAAAATATCGAAAGGCGAGAAGGCCCTTCATTAGGAATGCATAAGCATTCCATTCTCAGCAATTTGCCTGATCTTATGGATTCAAGACGCGGTATTCAAAGCTAGTTTTGCCACGAAATCCTGAAAAAAATTGTGAAATTTTTGTCACTGCATCAAGTTTACAGATTCATCCACGCGCAATTGTTTCGGGGCAGTCATTTTGACGTCCTTCGCCATGTGGTTGACGCTTTTTTCGGTAAGTGTGATTTCATGAAGCTTTTTTTTGCAAATTCTTTTCCAAACACTATTTACCTGCACATGTTTTTGAATTTCATCTCTGCCCTTTCTTGAATCCTTCAACTCTGCCTTTATTTGTTATCTGGTAAAAGACGTGTTTCTTTGTTTATAGAGGTCTATGGAAATGAGGAATTGGACCCCAAAGTAGCGAAATTAGCGCTCGCCTTGAAAACGGCTGTGGCGAAAGAGCTGGTCGTACAGAAGCAGGTAATGGGCGCTTCCATGTTGCTTATTATTTATCTATTTGTTTGGTTATTTCTGTTCATATTTATGCACCACTTTGGCTTCGCACACTTGCATACACCGGTGGCGACAACAGCGACATGGGAAGAGGAATCGAAATATTTCATTCTGACCTTTGTGGTCGCGGCGCCGCCTGCCCACCATGGAAATTTGCCCCTTCTTCCTTTCCCGTTTTCTGTTTTTCCTGTCTGCGAAATTTAACGAAAATTGGTATGGATTTCTGCTTCCAGCTCCCACCACCTACCGAAGTTGCTCGACCCGCCCACCATATTCATTTGACATCATCTTTGGCAGTTTGCTAGTTAATTATCCATCTATTATATGTGCTTAGGATAACATTGAAAGGGACAGTTCATACGTTTGCTATCCCTTTTTTGGGGCAGTACTCACTCTGTTTACGTGTAGCATTCAGAAAAAGAAGTACTGTCTCTTTTTCGTTCCGAAGTGAGGTAGATCACGGTAGCTGTCGCTGGTTTGTTGATGGGAATTTTGTTGCAGCTTGCACAAACGTTGGGTGCTTTGGAATCGATAATAAATGGTGCACGTGTCGCTTCGTTACGTTATGAGCCTCTTCAGGTATTGTTTTTGCGTTACAAACTACTAGTGCACTGTTTTATGATCTTCTAGCCAAGCCAAGAAGTAACGGATTTCAACTGTTTCAGGACAAGCAAACGCTAGCTGAACAAGGTTTGAGAGAATTAACCACGAAACAGGGAGACCCATTCGGTTTGTTCGGTCAGCCGGCGATAGGCTCCGTCACACTTGATTTGCTCGACACGAAAGGATAATTGAATAACGCTCTCGATTTGAACATTATTAATCATTTTCTAAATGGTATCTGTTCTTTCTACTCATTGCTACTCCTAACGGGGTTCTCAACAGGTTTATCCGCGCGTTGCAGCGGTTTTGTTGCCTTATCACTCCGTCGCTACGTTTTCTGTCCAGTCCGCATCTTCCAGCGTGGCGGTGACTTCACTTAGGTTCTTCTTGTTCACCTGCAAAGGTATTTATTGAAAAAAAGGTTGCAAGAGTTTGCAGATAAAGTCCTCCAATTCAAAAGGACGGGTTCTTCATGGCCTCACAGTCTCCATTCCAGAGAGGAGGGGAGGGGGGGGGGGAAGGGGAACGATAAGTTGGATATTTGAGAAGCAGAGAACTACCTACTCCAAAGGCAAGGTTTGGTCTCAGAGAGTGAGAGCCCGGGACGTGGCAATTTGTGGGAAAGGGGCTTCAGTGAAGAGCTAGCATGTGTAATTCAGCCGAAGCATAGAACAGCAGAAAGGGGTCTCTCCCCCTGAGTTTTAGGCCATTCTCTTTGGTTTCTCTTCATCACCGTACTATTTGTCACCTCTTCTATCATTTTCCACAGCGGCCAGTTTATCCTCCTATCTGCCTTTAGTTTCCTTTTTCAAGTGGTAATGTTAGAACAGCGTAAGAGGACATAGTAGGAATGTACACATTGTATCACCTGTATCACCTGTCGTCCCGTTGATCATCGATTTGCTCGAGCGGGCGCCAGCAACGTCTCCATTCGTCCCTGTCGCGTGCAGAGTGGTCCAGTGGATCCTCCTCGCTCGAGGGACACGAAGTCCTTCATTCCTTTCGTTCAGAGCTTTCGTGAAGAAGTCTGACCATCGGGCCGGCGGTCGTCCAGGTGTTCGTTTGACGTCCCGAGGGATCCAGTCGGTAACCGCTCTGGTTAACAAGCATGTTAGTCTGTTCTCAAACAACACATTGCTATAGGCTTTTTTCCGAGTGGGGGAATTCTTTCATTTCTTGTTTGATAGGTTTGCTCTTTGTGACGGTTTGAATCGTGAAAGACCGTTTCATTCAAAATAGGTCAGTTTCAGTGGCATTTCCTTGTAGGTGGAGCGCAAATTTGCTCACCAGTTGAGGCTTCAGAATTCATGTATGGGTGTACGATTTCCGCTTTGATGTAAAACATCAGTTGATCGTTTCTTGTTCTGCAGTTGTATGACGTTTTAACAGATATCTCGTTTACTTTTGTAAGAGCATTGCAGTTTGGATCATTATTTGTTTGTTGATTGATGTTGTTGATTTTTTATAGTTATGTTCAGATTTCTACAGTATAGCTTTGAAATTGTTGTTTATTGTGAGAAATTCAGGGATCGAACTGTTGTTTTCTCGGTTTTGCGAACATGAAAGAAAAATACGACTAATGTGCATCTCACTGCTGATTTTGATCAGCTATGCTTGGGAATTT